ACCGAGTCCTCCGTGGACTCCTTCATCCCCGAGCTGTACAGCGCACGAAAGTAGTCGCTCTTCTCGATCAGCTTCCTCTTGTTCACCTCGTACGTTTTGTCCTCCATCACGATGGCAATGTTTTGCTCCGAGGACATGTCGGCAAGAGTGCGTCTCGAGCAGGCCGACTTCAATGGATTTTGTTTACATCTCACCGGTGTTGAGGGCTCCAAATATGGCCATGTTCGGCCCATTGGTCGTCATCGAGCAACTCTCTGCAGTCCGGGGAAGCTAACCTGCTAACGACGGGAGACACAAACGGGCTACTAACGCGACGATTTCATATCCCGCCAGTGTCCGCTAAAGGACTCCCCGGATAATCACAGTTGTAGTGTAAGTGATGTAAAAAATATCCCAAAATCGACAGTGTTGAATTGCGTCTCACTGAGTCCGACTTAGCTGTCAACTTTGGGGTTGTTTTGGTTCCGAGTGCTCTTCTTCAGTGGTGCTTCTACTGCGCAACTGCGGAGTGCTGCCGCCACCTTGCGGCGCCTTGACCCCAACAGCAGAGAGCCCCGTCCGGTCTGACTCGATCAGCGAGTTCGTTTTTTATAATTCGCTGCTTCTTTCACAAAAAAAATAACGAGTCGAACAGGTCTGAAATAACCCACTCGTGGGTATTTTAAGAAACCTGGTTCTCGCCAAAGGCCTTTTAATTTGAAACCAGCAACTGACATCATTGACGCAATTGTATGTTTTTTGTTATTGGTTTTTATTTTTGCAGAAAGTCTTTTAATGTGAAACCCGGACATGCCACTTGTGCATTCCGCGCGGCTTGACGTCGGCGCGTATGCTGGCGTGTGACAGACAGACGGCGGTGCATCAATGTCTTGGGCACCACACGCCCGGACCGCTTCGACTCTCCGGCTGCACGCAGCCGGCCGTCCGCCGTACGTGATCCGTGTTGAGGATGTGGGAGCCTTCTGGTCCCAGCCGTTGCCTGCTGGTGGTCTTCATCATCGCCGCTCTCAAGGCAATCTGCGCCGCTACGACGCTACCGCCGTGCGATGAGGTGAGCGCGTACGATCGATCATATTTATGCAATCTTATGAAAGATACTCATTACGGATTTATACGTCAACCAGTCTTCTTGTTTGACGCGTCGTGCTGGCCATCATCTCAAAAGCACATGTCATAAATCCTTTCCTGTTCAACTATTTTCTTTCTGGAAATTAGTTGAATCGCGCTGCTGTGATATTTGCAGAATTAGTGCAAAAACATGACTGGCGGTGATGACATAAGAATGTGACTAATGATAGTGTAACCAGGTGATCACGCATAACAAGTCAGCAAATTATTTTTATTGCACATGAACGATTTAATCATGACCGCGTGTCTTGTTAATTGGATACCATCCTGCGCTCAAATGCCTTAATGAGACCATTTGAAATGTGTTGCCATGAAAAGGCCCTTTCTCTCGCCAAGCTTATGCTCGTCTCACCAACTATCTTCACCAGTAGTGTCATCGTTTTTTTTTTGTTTGTTTGTTTTTTCATGCTGCCTTTTGCTTCCGTTGTTGCCACTGCTGCCTTTTTATTTCCTGCCCCTTTCAGTCTCTCCCTCCTCTCGTCCACTCATCAGTCGTCCTGGCAACCGGCACGAGTCACCCGGGAGACCAACAGATCACACGAGTGCGCTTTTGCCTCAGCTCCTTATCGGTTTCACCGCCTGAACAACCGGCACGAGTCACCCGGGAGACCAACAGATCACAGAGTGCGCTTTTGCCTCGGCTCCTTATCGGTTTCACCGCCTGAATGCTGCTTTTAATTCGCAGATGACAGGTGCCTGTGTCTCTGCCAGGTGCACAGAGTAGGGGTAGAGGTATGCTTGACCGTCGCCGAGGTGTGTTTGGTTTCCCCAGGGGAAGTGGCGGTCATATTGAAGAGCAATGAACAACGCACGCACACAAACACTGCATAGGAAATGGGTAAAAAGGATGTCAAAAACTGGACATCTGTTCAAGCCTACAGCATACAATCCATCCTCTGTACTGCTTCTCATTGTGTAATCTAAAAAGAAAACTAACTGTCAAAGTGGTTTGTTTTTTTCCCTAGCACATGACCCGCTGCTGTTTCCCTTTCCAGTCCATTAGTGGCACTTGGTTGCCACGGCGATCAGGGTCACCAACCGCTCTCCAATAACGATTGCCGCTCACGAATCGACATGCGATGTTTACTACCGCTGCTTGCGTGTGTTATTTGTGCAGATGGACTACTACTACCAGTACACCGAGTGCGACGCCATGGGGTCCCGCTGGAGGGTGGCCATCCCGCTCAATCCGGGCACCTGCTCGGGCCTCCCGCCCCCCAGCAGAGGGACGGACTGCAGTGAGTCTTCATATCCTCTTTCCTGGACTCATTTTGCCTTTGTGTCGTTTTCTCAAATCTGCATTTCGTTCGTCTGCGTTCAGGCTTCTCATGCTCGGCCGGCCAGTTCCTGGAGATGTCCACGCAGTCGTGTACGCCGTGCGCGGCCGGCTCCTACTCGCTGGGCAGCGGCCTGCGCTTTGATCAGTGGGACGCCCTCCCTGCCGGATTCATCAGCATCGCCAGCTTCCTCAACGCCAAGCCGCCGAACGGCGACTTCCAGGCGTGTAGCAAGTACGCCGCATTTTCGTTTCCACAGCCGGCGGTAAACAGAGATACGCTCGACTCATGTAAGGGAGGACGAAAAGGGTCGGGAAGAAGCAAGCGAGGAAGGAGAGCTGGAAACAAAGGGAGAATGGACGCGAGAAACGAAGGAAGGACAAACAGTGGAGGGAGGGAGAGAAGCAAGCGAGCGAGCAACCAAGAAGGGTACGACAAGGGGAGACAGAGAACGGATGGAAGGAATGACATGGTTGCTGTGAAAGGAAAAATGGACTGGATGGAGGAAGAGCAGAAGTAACAAGTAGGAAGGGAGGGAGGAAGGAATCAAGGTCGGTAGGAAGAAAAGAAACCAGGTGGGAAGGAAAGGAATCGAGGAAGCGAGTGAGTTGGAACAGAGCGAAGCAAAGAACCAAGGCCGCTAGGAAAGGAAGGAAAGGAGGACGACCTGCGACTTTTCCACTTGACCCACGTGCGTCTTTTGCATGCGTGTGGCGCAGCTCGACGTGGACGCCGCAGGGCGTGTACCTGGAGTCCAACCGGGACGAGTGCACCGTGTCGCTGGTGTACGTGGTGCACCTGGAGAAGCAGGGCTCCGTCGCCTTCACCTACCAGTACCCCGACAACAACATCTTCTTTGAGTTCTACGTGAGAAAACCTTGATCCGTCGCGTCCGCGTGACCATGGGCCGTGTCGTTTTTGTGCCACCTCGCGAGCGTGTGTGTGTGTTCAGGTCCAGAACGAGCAGTGCCAGGAGATGAGCCAGAGCGACGAGCAGAAGTGGATCAAGGTCACCAACAATGGAGAATGGGCAACGCACGCGGTCAGTGAAAGCTTTTCACTCCCAGCCGCTTGCAACGCCACATGCAAACACATGCGAGTACACACACACACACACACACACACACACACACACACACACACACACACACACACACACAGTGTCCGTGCGACTGATGTGAACTTGCGTTGCAGATCAACCTGTGGGCCGGCACCAACATCCTGTACTGGAGAACGACGGGCATGCTGCTGGGTGTCAAGATGATCCAACCCGTGCTGCTCAAGGACATCAAAATAGAAGGTGGCCCTCGCCTCGGAAAGCGGCCGCCGTTCCGGCGGGACGCCGGTTTTGCTCATGACGATTGTTTTTTGCCTGTCGGCCAAAGGCGTGGCCTACACGTCCGAGTGCTTTCCCTGCCGCCCCGGCTGGTTCAGCGCCAGCGCCGGCTCGTCCTCCTGCCGGCCGTGTCCCAGCGGCACCTTCTCCGGCAAGAGCGCCACTTCTTGCACCGCCTGCCCCCCAAACCACTACTCACGTACGTACGCGTCCTCGTCAGCCGTGCGTCTCCTCTCTGCTGTGGAAAAGGGAAGCGCTTTTCCCTGCCCTTTCTTACTTGACATCTTTGTTTTGCAAATCCACGAAAAATCAACCGATAACACATGAAAAAAAAAATGTACATGCAACAAATTGAGTGCTGCTGCCTGCAACAAATTTTGTCCAATTCAAAATAGACTTGAGCCTGAGTTGTGGAAAAAAAAATCTGTTCCTCTGCATATGCTGAGTCACTCTGTGTCAGGAAATGAATCATTCCATTTTCACCGCATGTTCCAATTAAATGCCAATGAAGCTAATTATAAAGTTTCTCGCCATTATGTCATCTTTGTTCCGTGTGTGTGCGTTTGTCTCAGTGGAGGGATGGGCCGAGTGCAAAGTGAGGCCGCCGTGTGACGACCGGGACTATTTCCAGATCCACACACCTTGTGACAGCGAAGGAAAGGTCAGTGCACGCGCGGAGACAGACGCGCACGCGCGCACTTACTTTCTGCCTCTTCATGCCAGGCCACGCGTTTGTGAAAAATTCATTTAAAACGTGACAGGCCGGAAGCTATCGTCCTGTCCGATGAGAGAATGTGTTTCTTTTGCCTGCCGCAGACGCAGGCGGCGTACCGCTGGGTCGAGCCCAAGATCTGCGATGAGAACGGCGTCGGCGCCGCGGCGCTGCCCGCCTCGGGGCCCGCGAAGCCGTGCCCGCCGTGCAACCCGGGCTTCTACAACAGCAACGACTCCACCTGCTCGCCTTGCCCGCCCGGGACCCGCTCGGACGGCACCTCCGGTAAACATTCACCGGCGGCGATGTTGTCCCGGCCCTGGCATGTCAACAGACTGGTCGCTCCTGAACTCGGGGCACGAGGCCAGGGGTCAGCAATGTTGTCACGACGCTACTCCGAGCCCCAGTTTGGTGACCCCTGCTTCAACTATGTTGTTATACAGGAACTGATGTATGTGCGTGCGCGTCTGTGTGTGTGTGCGCAGCATGCAGGCCATGCCCCTCAGGCACAGAGCCGGTTCTCGGTTACGACTACAGATGGTGGAACATCCTGCCCTCCAACATGAAAACGTCCTGCTTCAACGTGGGGAATTCCAAATGCGATGGCATGAACGGTAACAATTTGTGCCACACGTCCATCGCTTATACTTTCAACACAACATCCCGTCGCCGAATACATTGCCAAAGACCCAGTTTGATCAAGCCAATCCAAAAGTTTTTGGTCTGGTCGCCAGCATGTTTCAGCATGTGTGTGTGTGTGTGTGTGTGTGTGTGTGTTGACATTCAGGTTGGGAAGTAGCAGGCGACCACGTCCGCAGCGGAGCCGGCTCATCGGACAACGACTACCTGATCCTCAACCTGCACGTGCCGGGCTTTAAGTAGGGCTGCCTGAAAGGGTCCCAAGTGTCGACCTGCGAGCGGATGCGTAAACGAGTCGTGTTTTTGTTTGCAGGGTGCCGGCGTCGCTGTCGGGCATGAGCGGCGGCGAAGTGGGTCAGATCACCTTTGAGTTCGAGACGCTCTGCAGCGCAGACTGCGAGTTCTACTTCATGATGGTGAGTGCAAGGATGGCGGGCGTGGCGCCGTCGCGCTTGGGAATGGCACCCAGGCTCGTTGCCCTCTGACACCCCCCCAGGACGTGCACAGCAAGAGCACCACCGTGGTGGAGTCGTGGAACGGCAGCAAAGGCCGCCAGTCGTATTCGCACAGCATGAGCAGGAACGACTCTGTCACCTTCACGTGGGCCTTCCAGAGGACCAGTCACGCTCTGGACGTAAGTTTGAACGACAACAAAACTTGGATTCATTCATTTTTTTTCCCCCCCGTGGATCTCAATGGCAATTTATCGTCAATAATGAATTGAAATTGAATGAGTCAAATCTTGGCATGGCACAGTGCCGCTAAACATGTCATGAAGTGGACAGCGCTCCGGTAACAGGCGTAACCCGGTTGCGCAGGTGCGCCGCTACGTGGGCGACAACGTGAAGCTCTTCTCCATCCACGTCAGCAACGTGCTGGAAGGCGTGGCCTCGAGCTGCCGGGCGTGCGCCCTGGTGCCCGACACCGCCCGGCGGGCCGACTCCTCGTGCGTGCCGTGCCCGCCGGGCTTCTACATCCACGCCGAGACCAATCGCTGCCAGGAGTGCCCGCCCGGCACCCACCTGGCCGGACGCCACACCTACGGCCGTGAGGCGTGCGTGCCGTGCGGGCCCGCCAGCGTCAGCAACCGGGTGAGCGATTTCATTCGCCAAAAATGCCTGGCGCGAAAAGCGAGAAATGGAGAGCAAGCCTTGTCTTGCAGGAGCATTCCCGTTGCTACAGCGACTGCTCCTTCTCGCACCTGCACCGCAACCGCACGCTGACCTACGACCTGGCGGCGTTGAGCGAGGTGGCCTCGCTCACCCTCGACCCCAGCTTCACCACCAAAGGCACCAAGTACCTTCACCTTTTCAACATCAGCCTGTGCGGGCACCAGGTCATCTCTCGGCGTCTCTCTCTGCCTCGGACAGCTCGCTTTTGGAAGCTTTCTAACCTCGGTGTGTGCAGGGCCGCAGAGAGGCGGTGTGCAGGAATAACCTGACCGACTTGGGCAGCGTGTTCAGCAAAGAGGAGCAGGGCATCGGCGACACCGCCCAGCCGGCTAACGCCGTGGATGGCTTCATCTGCCAGTCCACCATCATCCCGGCCGACGGGCGTGGCTTCCGGACGCCCATTTCGTCGCAGTCCGTCGGCCTGGCGGACACGTTTCTCGGTGCGTCGGCTTTTTTCATGAGCGGGGCGGCCTTTTACTCAACTGTCGGTCAGTGTCGTTTTGGGCTCCCCCCTCTCGCAGGAGCATCGGTGGAGCACTTCCTCGACGGCGTGAGCGCAGACGCCGAGCTCTTCCCCCAAAACACCAACAGTATTCCTGATATTAACTTCTTCTTCAGGTAGACAAACAAAAGGTTCCTGTTTTTCGGGCAACCTTACACGTCTTTATTTTGTTCTCATTTCAGGTCGACACAGGTGACGGCTTCGTGCGATCAAGGCCGCAGTTCGGTCATCGTGGTTCGCTGTAATCCCCAAAAGTCGGAACGCGGCGAGCTCTCTGTGCCCAGGTCAGTCAGTGGTGTCGTGTGTCAAAAGGGACTGCGGGAGTGAAAAAAAAAACGACCCAAAAAAAAAAAAGTCTGAAAAGAACAATATTCCCTGAAAAAATAAAAAATCTTTAGGGAAAAGCACAACACTCAAATATTGAATTGAAAAGTATGTAAATATTGGAGAAGTATGCGGGAAAATATTATTGAAATATCCTTTGAAAATGTCCATTTTTGTCATTTTTAAACATAAATGAATATAATTTGACTTTTGTCGTTGGGTTACTAGCTCCTGTCCTGCAGGAACGTGTGATGGCTGCGCCTTCCACTTCCTGTGGGAGAGCGCCAGTGCCTGCCCGCTTTGCACGCGAGACGACTACCACCGGCTGGACAGCGCGTGCAAGGGGGGCACCCAGGTACCCACACACACACACACACACACACACACACACACACACACACACACACACACGCATAACGGCACATCCCACTGCGTGGCCACAGTCCCTTCATCGGCCTGCTGTGTCTGCAGGAAACTTTCTACTTGTGGAATGAGCCCAAGCTGTGCAGCAAAGGCGTCCCACTACCCCCTAGAAGCTCCGCCCCTTGCGAGTCTGTCGCATTGTGGCTCAAGTTGGTCATGGGCGGCGGAGCGTTTTCGGCCGCGCTGCTCGTCACCCTCACCTGCTATTTCTGGAAGAAGAACAAGAGGTGAGTTCTTTTACTTCTAACCGCGTATGACTTGCGTGATCACGTGACGTTGTATACTTGCGGCAGGCTGGAGTACAAGTACTCTCGTCTGGTGATGTCGGCCAACAAGGAGTGCGAGCTGCCCGCCGCTGACAGCTGCGCCCTGGACGAGGACGACGACCCAGACGACAACGACGACCCCGTCTACACCCGCAAGCCCTCGCTGCTGGGGAAGCTCCGCGCTATCGCCAACAAGGTGTGTGCACGCCGGTTTTAGATTCTAAAAGTCAGGGGGTTCAAATTTTTCAGGTCAAGCAATCCCTTTCAAGGGGGATTCCACCCCGCCTCTAATTTTAATGTCATTTTTCTACTTGAATAATGTCCCAAATTGTGTCTTTCAGCATGAAGGAGGTGACACCAGTGAATCTGTGCAGCTCAACAGCTCCCAGGCGGACCGCTGGGTCCTGCGATAGTTTTCCTGGAATCACATAAGCAAGAAACGCTCAAGTCAGCGATTTGATGCACCTTGGGTGTCAAGTGTGATGGGATGTTTGGGTTGGCATGGGGAGAGGGGGTGGCACACGGACCTCTTTGTATTTTTGTTTTTGTACATTTTTATTTGGGTTTCTTTTGCGAGTCGTGTATTTATACCAATGTCGTTTATTAAAGATTAATAGAGTCCTTTATGACTGCTTTTCCGTAATTATCGTTTAAGTTGTCAATAAGGTGCAGTACCATTTGTGACCGTCGTTTTGGAGTGGCAGTGTTTACACACGAGTTGTAATTTGGACGATTCAGACAGGAAGTGCAAATTATTTGCCTTTGAAATTGTGTGAGCTCCTTTTTAATAAAGTCACGCAAACAAACATAACGGATTTATATGCTCGTTGATATGTTTAAACTGGTCAAATGCGATGTTTTTTTAAAAATCGCTTGATTTTCGGTCATGCGCACAAAACGGGTCCTTGTGCGGCGTCTTCCTCCGCAATGTTCTCCGCCCTCCACACGTAGAACCCGCTCCTCGTACTGTGAACGTGCTTCGACCGTGGTTTAAACTTTGACAGGCTCTCTGTTGACTCCGAGAATTCGTTTTTTTGTCGTTGATTAACTTTTGCCGCAGAAGCAGCAATGTGAAAAATGACGACTGGAAAGCAATCTGCGGAATGACGAGCTTCAGTTCATAGCGCGGTAAGAAATAGTCCCTCTTTTTCTCCCTACGCTTGTTGTGATTTTTCCAGGCACAAAAAAACGGTCATGGCCCTCGAGAAAACTCTCGAAAGTGCGCTAAAAACTATTATTTGGCCTTCCTGTCTTATGAGTGCTCTACGTGGTGGAAGTGTAAAATGTACCAAGGGGTTTGAGTGAGTGTTTTCTGAAACGCAAACTTTAACGCCTCATTCGAAGTTGAGTCCAGTGACGTCGCTTGGCAAGAGTTTGTTTGGAGTTGACAATACATTTTGGTAATGATAATGAGAGTATTACTCTCAAGGCCTTTATTATAGCATTGTTTCTCCTGATGGCTTCATTGTTAGGTCATGAAATAGAGAAAAACAGAATTATGAAATGTCTAAAATGTCTCTCATAAGTGGATTAAGAGGAGCCCAGAATGCAAGGTATCACTTAGTGTCAATATTGATGTTTTCCAGCTCCTCCCGGTTTCTCCCCCGTGTTCGTATTCAAGTGGTAAGTTTCTGATGACGTTATAAAATGAAGAAGGAAAAAAAAAGAAATGCAGCACAAAAACGAAGAGTAGATAAATCTTTTGTAAAAGTGTCCTCCTTCAGGTCCATTGATCTGCAAGATGGCTCGCGGCTGCGTCTGCTGCGTCAAGTACATGCTCTTCCTCTTCAACCTGCTCTTTTGGGTAACGGCACGACTCTCCGGGAATCGAGTCCCATCCTGCACGTGACCCAAAAAAATGGGTGACCCGTGTCTTTTGTTGCAGCTGGGCGGGTGCGGCCTGCTGGGCGTGGGCGTGTGGCTGTCGGTGTCGCAGGGCAACTTCGCCACGCTGTCGCCATCCTTCCCATCGCTGTCGGCCGCCAACCTCATTGTCACGCTGGGCACCGTCGTCATGGTGACGGGCTTCCTGGGATGCCTGGGCGCCATCAAGGAGAACAAGTGCCTCCTGCTTAGTGTGAGTCGGTTGCGAGCTGCGTTGGCTGCCTTTCATTCAGCATTGCTTTTTGTTTTGTTTTTTCATATATGGCATATATATTAAAATTATATTTTTTAAATATCTATTTTGGATCAGATTTCAAACAATTGTACACTTTGGTGGGATTTGCATCATTATAATTTGTGCCCCCACCTCTCCAAGTTTTTCATTGTCCTGTTGATCATCCTGCTGGCCGAGCTCATCCTCCTCATCCTCTTCTTCGTCTACACCGACAAGGTAGGACGTGCTGATATTCACCAAATACTCTAGAAGATCATAAATATGGAATTCAGCTTTCCGTTTGCCAACTCGCAGGTGAGCGAAAACGCCCGGCGGGATCTGAAGGATGGGCTGGTCCTGTATAACACGGACGACAACGCCGGCCTGAAAGACGCTTGGAACGCCATCCAGGGGGAGGTAAGACAAGCCGCGATGTGGATGAATCGGAAAAAGCGCTTCATAGTGATGTCTTGATGATGCGGGCGCAGTGGCACTGCTGCGGTGTGACGAGTTTCAGCGACTGGCATGCAGCGCTCCAGGTCAACGTTGTTCCCGACAGCTGCTGCCAGCTCGTTCATTCGGGATGCGGACACAACGCTTCCAACGCCTTCTGGACGCGGGTCAGTTGATCAAAATAGATTCCCCCCCGCCCCCTTCGAAGGTCCTTCAAGTTCAACAAATTGACGACTGAATGAATACGTGTGATTTCTTGGTGATATCGTGGATTTGCAAAAGAAAAGATTGTGATGGATTAGGCACAGCGGATTCCATGTTGTGCTTGTTTCAGGGCTGCTACGAGAAGGTGGAGGAGTGGCTGGACGACAACAAGCACCTGCTGGGCACCATCGCCATGTGCGTGCTGGTCATTCAGGTGGGCAACGACCTTCGCCTGCCGCCTTTTTTTGTGCCGTGACTTTTAATCAGCCGTGTCGCTTTCAGCTCCTCGGCATGGCCTTTTCCATGACGCTGTACCAGCAGATCCACCGCGCCGGGAAGAAATACCAAGCCTAACTTTCCACTTAGAGAATGCAGTATGTACACACCGCAGTATTTTAGCATAAGCTGTAACACGTACAGTTATTACCATGACTAATCTGTTTTGTATCTAAAATATTTGTTACAAGTGTTAAGTGTCCTGACATGTTCAATTAAAGCACACAGCAGATGCGGCTTTTTGATGGACATCCAAGATCACTACAGTGAGGTCTTGAAATATGCCTGATTAAAAACCGACAGACAAATCGAATGTTTTCTCTTATTTTGCTTCAGCTCAACGGACATTGTGCCGCTCCGTCTGGCGCGCTTGCCTTGATGGTGACAGTAGCAATAATTGTCACAGCTCACATTTGCAGCTCCAAAAACGCGTCGGTCGGGTAAACCGGCAGCTCGAGGCAGACGTTTGGCATCACCAACCGAATTCGCAAGACGCAACAACTCGGCACTCCATTTCAGCTCTGGCTTTTATTCGTCCGCGCCTCTTCACAAGGCCAGCGTCTGGTCGTTGTCATAGACGACGTCACCCTTGACGACCACGTAGCGGATGAGCTCCTGATGTCCGCCCAGCTGGTAGATGAGATGCTCCCACCTGTCGACAAACTCAGCAGTCAGAGCCCCTCGTCTTTTCATGGCAATCAACACTACGGTAATCCCTCACGCCATCTTGTGGTACTTTAGGGTATTACGGAAGAGACAACAATGATCCCAATAGACGCATGTAGGTGAGTTTTCAGAAAATATTATTGTAGCCGTTTACCGCGGTGCGGCGATGACCAGCAGGTCGCCGTGTTTTCCCGCCTCCAGCGAGCCGTGCGTGTGCGAGCGTCCCAGGGCGTAGGCGGCGTTGATGGTGGCCGCCGCCAAGGCCTCGGGCATGGACATCCTCATGTTGACGCAGGCCAGGTGCATGACGATGGGCTTTCGGACAGGTGTGGCGGGGGAGAAATTGGCCTTGGCGCTTGGAGCGAAGGCGGCGGGCAACTCACCATGGAGCAACAGTACGCGTTGGGGTTGAAGTCGCTGCCCAGGGCCACGATCACGCCCGCATCCAACATGGCTCGTGCCCGCGGTTGAGCTAGCCTAGTCGCACGCAGGTTAGCAAAAGCAAAAAAATTGACATTCTGATGTATCATCTCATGACCTTAAGATATATTATTGATAGTCCAGCATCAAGTATCGATATAGGAATACATTGTAGCGCTATCTGTCCAGTTTCTTCCCCATCCTAGGAATTTGTCTGTGTGTGTGTGTGTGTGTGTGTGTGTGTGTGTGTGTGTGTGTGTGTGTGTGTGTGTGTGTGTGTGCGTGTGTTACCTGAGAATGTAAGCCGTGGTCGGCAGCAGGATGGCCGCCGTCTTCGCCCGGGCCATGGCGGCGATGCCCTGGTCCGTTACTTCCTCCAGGTGGCTGACAGCCAACGCTCCCAGCTCGGCCCCCAGCTGTTGACCAGACGTTAAAAAAAAAAAAAAAAACGCTCCATGATGGATGGCAAACGGAAGCCAACCTGGGCGGCGTTCATGGGGTGCAGCTCATCTCCATGGAAGTTGACGTTGAGGCCCATGTCCTTGCCCGCCTGCAGAATAGCGCGCGTGGAGGGCACGTCGAAGACACCCTCCTCGCAGAAGACGTCGATGTTATCCACCCGCAGCTCCCCGGTTGCCATGCGCCCCTTCAACGCGGGTAGTTGAACCTGCAGGATGTCCGCGGTGGCTTCTTCCACACTCTTCCCTCTTCAGACGTGCGGCGGAGGCCCACAAAGCATGCAAGTGAGTACATTTGAGTTTCAGAATCACTCCAGAAAGCTTTCGGGAAAAAAAAAAAAAGAGCCCGCAGAGTCTTTGGAGAAGAAGTTGAAGTGCGACATACTTGGGCACGGCATGAGCGCCGCAGTATGTGGATGAGATGCCGATGGGCAGAGTGCGGCGGGCTTCCTCCATCACCTCCAGCATCTTCATCTCGGTGGGCAGCTCCAGGCCGTAGCCGCTCTTGACCTCCGCCAGGGTGGTGCCGGCCCGCCGCATGCGCTCCAGCCTGCCGCTCAGCGAGGCCAGGAGGTCCCGGGCGGCCGCCGCTCGTGTGCGCTCCACCGTGAAGTGGATGCCACCCCCCGCGCGGTGCACGTCCATGTAAGTGGCGCCCGCCAGCTGCGGCGGAAGTGTCGTCAGGCCGTTTCCGCGATCGTCACCGCGGCGACCGACGGCTTACCTTCATGGCAAACTCGTGCACGCGGTCGCCGGCCCAAATCGGGTGTGTGTGAGCGTCCACCAAGCCTGCCACCACCGTCATCGAAAGGACGATCAATTTTATGCCGGTCGACGGGTGAGTGGAGATGGCCCGCACTCACCAGGCAGGACGCACATCCCCGTGGCGTCGATCACGCGATCGAAGGACACTCGCGAATACTCGGACTCGATCACGTCGGCGGGCCCAACCGCTTCGATTAGACCATCGCTGACCGGCACAGAAAGGGGCATCATTCATCATTGAATATGAACAGTTTGGTCATTAATGGAAAAATATCAACTCTAAATAATGACAAGTAATCATTTTGCAGCTTGATTCCCCCAACTAACCTGTCGACGACGACACTTGCGTTTTGGATGATGTGAATGTCGATGTCGCCGCCATTGGCTCGCGTCAGGTATTTCTCACCCTTGTTGCAAATCACGAGCACCTGCCGCGCGTTTTTCACCAGTAGTTTAAAGCGAGCTGTCGACATGTCTCTCGCTCTCGGTGTCTTTGAGCTTTTACGCTTCAGAGAGCAGCCCGCAAAGCCAGTTTTCTTTTGCGTTCTTGCTTTTCACCAAATATTTGAGCAGCAGAGGTTGAAGTGCACGGGGGGCAGGGAGGGGGGGCGTGTTCCAAAGTTCCAAAAGGAATAACGGCTCAGCCTGCAGCCCACCAGTGAGCACGAAACGCATCTTTGTCTGAGTTACACGGCGTGTAACATTTATAAGTAAGCATGTCATCAAGCAAAGTGCGAGAACTTTTCTTTTTTTACTTGTATGATAAAGAAAGCGCAGAGCAGTCCAATCAAATGCAGTTATTCTACTTAATACTATGTAAATGAAGATTTGTTTGGTGTATTGTATCCCTGTTGCTCATCTGTATCTTTTGGATGCCTTTTTTTTTTCTTCCCATTTATTGTTGTCCACTTGTCCCACCTTCACCAACCCAGAAATGGATCAGTTGTCTTTTGAAATAGCCTTTGATTTAAATTCCTAATAATAATACTTTTTCAAAAAGCAGGGGTGTCCAGCTTCATCACAAAGAGCATAAGAATGAGTTTTATTGTCTCAACAACAAAAAGTTGGTCTCAAACAGTACAAAAAGAAATCAAGCATTCATTTAGTTTCACATGGTGAAAACACAAGCACACTTTTGGACTACAAATCACACCCACACCGTCCTTGTTGGCTCATTCTCTCATTTCTCCGTCTTCCTCCTCTTCATCCACACCTCGGATGTACAGGACATTGTTGCACCTGGAGGAGGAGAACATTGATTTTTTTTTGGGGGGGGATGGCGCTTGTCCGAGTCACTCTTGAGCAGGGCTCCTGGCTCATTGACACTTGATTTGAATCCAGACTCAATTGGAAATACCTGATGAGGACTTCCCCGAGATGCCCCGCGAGCGCTCCGTCCACGTACTCTTCCGTGTTCGCCAGCTGCCCACCAACATGACACGCAACGCTCACGATCAGGTAAACTTTGCTGTCGGTCGATTTGACGTGTTAGTTGCGCCTCACCTGCATGTTCATGTAGCCGTCCACGGAGACCAGGTAGCCTTTGTACTCCATGCCCCACTTGAGCTTCACCATCACCGGCTTGCCCGTCAGGCCGTTCAGGAAGGGCTTGGGGTTCAGTGGTAAACTCTGCAACAAGGGGACATTTTTTTATTCAAGCCTCGTTCTTGGAAATGTGTCTAAAAAACGGGCATTGTTGGGGCATCCAAAATGTAGCCGTCCACAGAGACCAGGTAGCCTTTGTACTCCATGCCCCACTTGAGCTTCACCATCACCGGCTTGCCCGTCAGGCCGTTCAGGAAGGGCTTGGGGTTCAGTGGTAAACTCTGCAACAAGGGGACATTTTTTAATTCAAGCCTCGTTCTTGGAAATGTCGCGTCTTATAAACGGGCATTATTGGGACATCCAAAACTACAAATAAGACTCTTATGAGGAGCCCAATTTAAGGCGAAAGGTCGGACTGAAAGTTAGGAGTCGACCTAATAACCTAATCGTCTGACTCTTGTGTTAAACGGTTGGGATGCATAAGTGCAAGGCTTCTGCCTTCATGCCGTTGGAGTATTCGGCGAGAGCTAACGCGGCTAATTGTTGACCGGCGGGGGAAGAGAAAAAAAACGCCGAGAAAGAACCGCCGAGATGATGAACGTGAATCCCCCACAGCGGAGATGACCAAATAGATCGGGCTCACCATTTGCACTTGTTGCAAGCGTGTAACGTATTAGGTCGGAGTTTTGTCGCTCGCTTGTCGGCACAAAAGCGCACACACGCTCTGCCCGCCCAACCGGAAGTAGTAAGGATTGACCTCCGTCAGGTCCTGTTGTTTTGTCATACTGCCACCCACAGGCGAGGGGCTCGCATTACAGCAAAATCCGTTCATCGACTCAAAAAGACGTGCTTGGCAAACGCTTAATCCACGCGGCGGGCAAGCTTTTTTGCTCAAAGCCAAGGGACACGTTTGATATTCAAATCTGACAGGTAGGCCACGTTATATGTCAATATGGTTGGCAGAAAAAAAAATATTGTGAGCATAGTTGCTTAAGACCAATCATTTTGAGCAAGCGCAGTTTTGTATTGATAGCGTGACAAAGTTAAAAATAACCTGGGTACTATGCTGTCATAGGTCAAATATACTGTATAGAATAAAGCGGATCGGAAAATGGATGGATGACGGTTAAATATATAAATAAATATCTCGTCGCTCTGTTCGCGCAAAGTATTAACTTTGGAGATCATCACGCCGCCCCCTCGACCTGGGTCAGATGCGCAAAATGGAGTTCGTGGCCCCATTTCGCAGCAGACTCACAAACCAACGTCAACGCCAACGGTCCTGGCTGGACCCAGAGGGAAAGAGAGCGATATCCATTCCGAAGTTATGTGCCATGAAAAGCCACTAGAGGGCGACATTTCCCCCTTTCAAAGCTCACGCTCTCTGGCCACTTCAATAGGGACACAAATCTCATGATATCCAATTGGGGCGGGGGTCTTTATCAAGATAAAAGTGCTTAATTTTGATTCACACATTTTTATTATGATGCTCGCAGTTCGCCTCACATCCTAAAAGCTCAAAAAGATAACCAACATATGCGGAACGCCTCTCAGCACCAATCCAGCACAACAATCGGGTCAAAACAGGTGTACAGTATCTCATGACTTGTCCAGTTCCTGTGAAAATCTGTGCTCAAAAAGTTTTATTATCGCCTGTATATGCCACAAGATGGCGTCAAAGCTTGACGAATGAAGCTCCTCAACTTCCTTCAACATAGCTCCTTGACACCCGGATGCCACAAGATGGTGCCAAAGCACTATGTTTCCATTTGACAAGGCTTCGACCTCAGTGAGGATGATTTGAGTTCGACTAAAGAGTGAAAAAGTCACTACGTAACCAGCTACTTTAGAGGAATCCTAAAAAGTCACGTCACATTGAAAAATATCTTTATTCCACGACTTGAGCCAATCTGGATGTGGGAGGACCTCCATTCCATTCCGCGATGTTCCTTTAAGGGAAGTGCAAGAGTGGAGGAGGAGGAGCCGGCTTCCTCACACCCTGCACGCCCGCATGTGTGTGCGGGTCCTCAGTTAGACTTGCAGGACGAAGTGCTGCGCGTGGAAATGAAAGACGCTGCAGGTTGCGGAGCGGCTGCACACAGGCTGGACTTTCACTGGTCTTCCTCGTCGACGCTCTTCCTCACGGGATCATGCTTCCTCCTCCCGCCGCATTCCTCCTCCTCCCCCTCCGCCGTGCACCTTCGCCTCAGCTGAGCGACAGACAGAGGCTGCACCGGGTTTGAACCCGCGCCGTTTTTTTCTTGTTTTTTTTTGCAGAACATCTCTGCCCCGCGCGCGCGCCTCTTCGCGGCTTGCCTCGGAGCGCTGAGCCGACATGCTGCGGCTACTTCTGCTGCTGCTGAGTGCGGCCGTGTCGTCAGGTGCAGGTCAGTGTCATTCTGCGCCGTCTCGCGCGTCATTTCCATCCCGAGGTGTCGTTTTGAATCTTTGCGCACAAGTTGCGACAGAATGGCAACACGCTGCTGCACTTTTTCCTCCATCGTCATCTCATCAATCAGCACAACAGCAGTGTTGACCGCTTGTAATATTCCAACACCAAAGAAGAAATTCTTCCCTTCCAGTGTTCCAACTTTTATTCGGCAGTCACAAGACGAGCATCTCACGAACGGCCGCAATAACAGCAAATATGTCGTCGTCGTGAAATTGCCGGGAGCTCATTCGCAGTCCGGCGGATAAAAAGACGCGCCGCAAGCGTTGATTTGCCCCCCTGGCGATGAGCACAATGTGTTCCTCGGGTGACCTCTCCCCACCTGCAGACAGTTACATAAGTCGCCGGCGGCTCCTGTTGAACACAAAACATGGCCCCTGACACCGCGGCTCCCCGGCCGAGGCGCGTTTTGAACGCGCTGAGTGTCTCCCGCACAAAAGGGCGACGGCGCGGGGATTGAAGGCGCTGAATGGGAGCGGCGGCCCCCGGGGCTTGCCGGCGGCGCGTCTGGAAGGCGTCCGAACGCCGCCCGACCCCGCCGAGCTGCCAAACTCGATCTGTGTCACGGCGGGAGGCCGGCAGGTGCACAATGGCGCCCTGATCTCCCTCGGCGGAACGCTTCCGATCCAGCTCAGCCTCCTCCTTGACTGGGACGCACGCGGCAGCCGCGCGAGGTCGGTCGGGACGCCGCCTCCCTCGGTTAAAAGCGGGCTGGCCCCAAAGTAGCCAATTGAGCGTTTCCTCTTGGAAATTCAAAAGCGGGTTTCAAGCCAAGGGATGCTTTGATGACGCAAGGGCTAAGATGAAATTGTGGGCTTCAATGACGTTTTTTTTTTTTTTTCCCTCCCCCCCAACAGGCGCCCCGCCGGAGGCGCTGTCGCGCGCGGGCGTGGCCCCGCGGTGCGAGAGCCGCGCCTGCAACCCCCGCATGGGCAACCTGGCGCTGGGCCGCCGCGTCCTGACCCAGAGCGTGTGCGGCAACAACGGCACCGAGCCGTACTGCGCCTACGGCGAGCCGGGCCTGACGTGCGGCGCCGCCAAGTGCGGCAAGTGCAACGCCGCCCTGCCCCACCTGTCCCACCTGGCGGGCGCCATGTCCGACTCGTCCTTCCGCCACCCCGACACCTGGTGGCAGTCGGCGGAGGGCGCCGACTCGGAGATGGTCCAGCTGGACCTGGAGGCCGAGTTCTACTTCACGCACCTCATCGCCGTCTTCCGCTCGCCGCGGCCCGCCGCCATGACGCTGGAGCGCTCGCAGGACTTCGGGCGCACCTGGCACATGCTGCAGTACTACGCCCGCAACTGCAGCGCCGCCTTCGGGATCCCGGAGGGCAAGGGGGCCCGATCGGGGCGGGACGGGGCCGCCTGCACGTCCAAGTACTCCGGAGCGTACCCGTGCACCCGAGGGGAGGTGAGGCGCAAAACGTCGCAGAGTGCAAAAGAGAGAGTGGCGCGTTTTGGATCGGTTATCTCGAATGCTTTGTACGGCAACGTCACGGTGCCAAAAAGAGCCACGTGGCGACATGCTGGCTGGTGACCTTCGTGCACAAGCGGCACCCGTTTTGGCGGCCCTCACAAACGGTTCGGTCGCCTCTGTGATGGTCGCCGCCATCATGGGCGCGGCCGTCTCATTTTAGTCATCCAACAAAGCATCCGGTGGCTTTGTTAGCGCTCGTGTTGAGAGTGGCCAAACGGCTCGACAGCTCGCATTGAGGTCAAATTCATCCCCGGCGTGAGACGGCAGCCATCAATCATTGATGGCTGCCGTCCTACTGGAACAAATGCGTGCGGATGCTGCAGACGCATGTACATGGCGTGTGCGCGCGCCTGAGTGAGTGTTGAACAGGCGCGCTTGAAACGCCGCATGAGAGCGCCCCGCACGCCACAAATGTTTAAGGCAAGCCGTGTGTGTGCATATGTGATGTGTCTTCATCCCCATTTATGCTTCTTTAATCTTGACTTCAGTCCAGAAAGGGATTTTAGATTTTTGATTTTCTCCATGCCCCCTTTGAATCGGTTGCGCATTCTCAAAAGCGCTTTGGCTTGGCCTTTTTGGCCCCCTTCTGCTTTCAACCATCCCATAGTCCTCCAAATCACCGATGGGGGCTTTTTTTTTTTGCTCCTCTGCAGTTGACGTTGTTTGACTTGGATGGCATTTTTGACGCCCCCGCTGAAATCTGGCAGGCCGTTACAAGTACGCTGCGAGTTGTTCAAGCCAGTCATGTTCCTGGCACCCTTTTGAAAGGTGTCGAAAGACCCGCGACCCGCCACTTAGACTTGCCGTAATTTGATTTGGGGGCGATCGAATTCCGGAGACAATAGCGCGGGGGTTGGTTGCGCCACGCCCGCCCTCGCGGGCCGTTATCAATCTGCCGCGAGTTATTGAAACGTAATACGAGGAGGACGGCTTGAGCGGCGCGCGCGCACGCGTCCCCGGGCGGGCATCATCAAAGCCTCGTCGGCTCGCACGTGAGCGTCTGAGCCTTTCGGGGATCTGATAAAAGACGGCGGGCGTGATGGATGGCGAGGGCCGCCGAGTTCATCCGCCGCGAGCGGGCGCCGGGGTTTTCATCTCGGTTCTGTGCGCGCGTATTATTTACAGTCGAGCGTTGCCAAACGCTCACCTCCTGAGCGGAAGGCCGACACATATTGCATCGAAACATTTGGAGTCAGCGAAATGCCCGCTTGGAAGGAAGCGCTCCTCTTACCCTGGTGGATGTTAGGAGCCAGAGTTGCCCCCCCCCCACCCCACACACCTCCATCAATGCCCATTGTGCATGTTTACCAGGTTACAGTCCAGTGTGCTTTGATGGAATTAGACGCCTCAAAGCCAGACTTGACTTGCTTTTGTTATTTTTTTTTTTTTTTTGCAGGCCGGAACTCAGGCGAGAAAGATTACAATTGGCCCAGAGTGAACTCGCTCGCCCGCTCGCTCGCTTCCCTCAGGCCTCATAAAAAGTCAAATTGGATCTCGCTCACCCAAACGTTGGGAAACTTTCTCACCCTGAGCGCTAATCATTAATATGCGAACACGGTGCAAAGGTTTTATTTAAGTAAGACCTACGCACGCGGCTGTAATTTAAACAATAGGCCCAACAATAGGAAGGCTCCTCAATGCGGCTGAGTCCGGATCGCCCAGAACAGTCAGCAGACCAACACACCGGCGCCAAAAAGTGCTGTCCTACCAATTTGGTCGTTTGGGAGCCCTTGAAAACGGTGCGCAGAAGTCCAAAGATGTTATTTGGGTGCCCTTCAGAAAAAAAACAGAGGGGTGCCAAAAACTAGTACGACACCGTGGTGTTATTTTTGGAATGAGGATTCGTAAAAACCCAAACAGGACATCTTGTGCAATTGTGTGTGTGTTCGTTGCCATGGAATGGGCGCGCTGTCTCAGTCCTTTCCGACTGCTACCTCCTCGCCCCCCCCCATTTGTGGCATGCCCTTCATGGCACAACACAATGCCTTTCGCAACCAGCGGGAAATGAATCGCTCTCCTCCCATCAAACTTTGGCTGCCCGACAGGCCGACCGGTCGGGGAAAAAAAACGCACGCGCGCAACAACGTCAAGAGACGGACGCACACGGCAAAGCCACACTTTCCCCTCGGGGTGTTGGTGACCGGCGGCAGCCGTCGCCATGGTGACGGGAACCCATAGAGGGGTCTCCAATTTTAAAGGATGTCCGGCACTCTTGTGGTCTCGTTGTCATGACGACGGGATGCAACATTGAGACCCATGTCGGTGGCAAAAAAAAGCGATCTGGTCCACCTCTCTAAAAGCCGACGTGACGGTCCAGATCATTTTGTTCCTCTGACAGAAGGCTGCCAAGAATCGCTGTTGTCCACTTGTTCTTTTCGTAGCCTTCGACTCGTTTGTACACCAGCAGACATTTCTAGCCTCTCCTGAATGCATTTTATTTTGAATGCCCCCCCCC